AAATTAAGATAATAAAAATTCGTCTAATTGATTTATATATAAAAATTATAAAGAATATAGAGTTTATGATGTTTTTAAAGTTTATAAAAATTATAAAAATTATAAAAATTATAAAAATTATGATAATTATGAAAATTATAGAAATTATAGGAATTTCCAATCATAACACCGTATATTTGTGAATTAAATAATTGGAGAACATCACTATACTGTGAAAAACAATGTTAGAACTGCATAGAAGTTACAAAAATCATTAAATTTTAGAATAGAATGGAAGAAAAGTATCAAAACTATCAATATACTTTACATTTATATTATTGTCATTAATATAAGAACTACCTTTAACAATTATATAAAATATATATTATATGTAATCCAGAAGAATATATCACTAACTTAACTGATTCAGACAAAAAAAATCAATAATAAATAAAAAAATCTCATAATAATATTATTAATTTTTTATCTCAAAATTGATCAGAAACTGTTTACAATAATTATTATTTTCCTTATAACTGATCACAAAGTTATAGTGAATATAATAATATTACTAGTATTTCATAATCACAATTAGATAGTGATAATATTGAATAACAAATACAATATATTACTGAATAATTTTGAAAATATTAAACAAAAAAATACAACTATAAATTAATAATACAAAAAAGATATTAATATTACCACTTTATATTGAAAAATATATTGTTCTATCTAAACAAAAGAACAAGTCTATTGAAACTAAATCATGCAAATCAGTTTATAAAGCAATAAAAAAACTAATAGAATACTATACAAATTATAGAACTAAACACAATAATTTGAAAAATGGAAATAATAATTGGACCAAAATATAATTTCACACACAAAGATTTATATTATTTTAATATACTCTAATAATATTCTAACTCCAACTTTTTATATAGATAATCAACAATTTAATTATTTTAATTAATTTATATTAATTATTAATTATTATAATTAATTCATTTAAAAATTATTATCAATCAAATTTAGTTAAAAATTTTAAAAATCATAAAATTCAAGAATATATACTGTTGTATAATGGAATTTCATATTAATTATTAGTCAAAATTATCATTTAATCTTATTGAATAATTTTGAAAACACATATTTATATTTTAATTAATTAAGATCTTTATATTTACATTTTGTATTATATTATTATTTATATTATTATTTATTATTATTTGTATTACATTTATATTATTATTTACAAATAATATGTAAATTATTTATTTAGGTTATATTAGATCACAAGATAAGTAACCAAGCGAGTAAATAAGTGAACAAACAAGTAAACAAGCAAATAAATAAGCAAACAAGCAAGCAAGCGAATAAGCAATTTTCTTGTGAATATTATTGGTAGTTTTGATTTAACAATTTTATATAAAAGAAGCATATATTTTAGCTTAGAAAAATTAGTCAATAAGTTAGTAAATTAACAAGTCAATTAGTTAATTAATTAAGTTTTAAATATTATTGACTCAAAAATAAACTTCTTTGATAATAATATCCTTTTAAATTTAACACATTTAGAATGTTTAAATATTCCTTTTATTATTTTATTATTTAAGTTTTAAAGTTTTATTTTAGTTTTGTTATAATCTCTCACATATTTGTGATGTTATATTAATAATCTCTTACATGTTGTAATATTATGTTGATGACCTCTTACATATTTGTAATGTCATATTTATAGTTTGGATCTCTCACATATTGTGATATCATATTGTTGAAATGATTTATGCTTATTATAAAATATTAGAAAGATTAACTAATTTAATTATATAATCTTAGTCAGTTATAATAATCATTATTGAGTTTATAATAAATTGAAAAGTGAATAATAATAAAAATAAAATCTTACCTTATATATAGGTATTATTATATTATAATATATCACAATTTTGAATAATTCAAAAATTATAAAATTATGAAATTTTTAATAAAATTGATATAAATCAAATCATTAAATTCAACTTAAAATTATTAATACTAAATCAAAATTTATTATTTATTTTTAACTCGAAATCAAATAATAGAATAATATTGAAAAATAATGTAAATAAATAAGTGATAAGTAATAATAAATAATAGTAAGTAATAGTAAGTAGTATTATTTAATATCACTCTAAAAGGGCGTGGGGTGCCAATAAAGTGATATCGATGAACTTTGTTTTTTGATCGCTGTGCAAAAGGGCGTGGAGCACCAGTAACGTGATGGACACGAAATTCAAAGCTTCGATGTTTTATATAAAATTCTTTCTATGCTGGCACACAATTTCATCCAAGAAGTTAATCAATCACTCTTCATCTATTATATCAATAACGATAATGTATTATAAATAAAAATACATTTTATTGTGATCGTCATATGTCATTTGATGGTTCAAAATTTTATTTAAAACAATGAGCTTTCCAACCCAAGAATCAACTGAAGAAAACATTAACAATAATTCAGATCATAAAAAGAAAGTTTCAAGTGTTCAAGATGTTCGTGAAGGAGCAGACATAAACCCCTTGTCTTCTTCGTCTACAGTTTTTGGTACACGATTACTGAGAAATAGCGAAGACGTATTTAACCATAATGCCTGGTAATATTAATAAATAACTTGAATAATATATATTTGAACTTTCCAAGTTGAATATTTGAAAGCTTAAATTTTTCAGGGATAATGTTGTATGGGGTGAAGACCAAGAGCAATACGCGCAAGAGCAAATACTGAAGCAGTCTAATAAGTTAGTTGCGTCTGAAGACCAAGGTTAGGTTTGATTTCTTTTAATGCGATAAAATAAAGAAATTAAATTCTTTATGGCGATGATTTTTGGTTTTAAGAGCGATATCATGCGGAAGCTGCCGAATACTGGAACGCTTTTTATCAAAAGAACGAAAATAGATTCTTCAAGGATCGAAATTGGCTCAAAATTGAATTTCCGGAATTACACTCGACTACAATCGCTAACGTATGTTAACCTAATTTCAATTTGATATTTTGAACGAATTATTTCTAATTATTGAATAAAAGTCTGGTCCAAAAAGATTATTTGAGATTGGATGTGGTGCAGGAAACACATTGTTTCCATTATTGACCATAAACGAGAACATCGACCTTTTTATTTACGCATGCGATTTTTCGTCGACCGCCGTTGAAGTTGTCAAAGTATTATGAACTACTTTATTATGTGTTCATTGTTGATTCATTGGAGATTATTTTGACGCATTTGCCATATATATTCATATACATCATCTGATTTTTTCAGAACAATCCTGAATTCAATCCAACGAATAGCACAGCATTCGTATGGGATCTGACAAGCACCGATATTCCTTCATGTATACAACCCGAATCTCTTGACATTATCGTATTGATATTTGTTTTATCGGCGTTACGTCCCGAAGAGTGGACGCAGGCGGTAGAGAATATGTACAAGGTACAAATGATACGCCGTCGCTTCAATTTGTTCGTGGTTCGCAATTTTTAATAGTTATTTTTTATTATGACTATGACTATTGCTATTGCTATTTCTATTTCAAAGATGCTTAAACCTGGTGGTTTGATTCTTTTTAGAGGTAGGAAGTTAGAAATAGAAATATTTACAATATGCAACAAAATATAATTTCGAAGATTTATTTATTGATAGATTATGGTCGATATGATATGGTTCAATTGAGATTTAAAGAGGGTCGAATGCTCTCCGAGAATTTTTACGTGCGTGGTGATGGAACTCGAGTATATTTTTTCACTACAGGTAAGTCTCATAAATTTCACAGTACAGAAAGCACTGATCCATTTTATGCTTTAATCACTTAATATTGAATATAATATTTATAGACGAAATCGAATCATTGTGGAATTCACGATTTAAAATAGAACAGAATGCAGTAGATAGGCGGTTGATTGTCAACCGGCACAAAAAACTAAAAATGTATCGCGTTTGGCTACAAGGTAAGTTTAGAAAATAAAATAGAATTTATTTATCTCTGAATATGATAATGTATTTCCAGTTAATTAAATTAAGAGAGAAATAGTGATCAGACAGTGTGAATACAAAAAAATTGGTTCTTCCACATGGGGAAATGTTTCAGTTGTGAAATTACTTAATGTTTTGTCATCATTTCACTCTATTGCCTCTCTCCTACAATATTTATATTTCTCATATATTCGCATGGGCGGGAGTCCAAATCGTTGTTTTATTTTATTGACAAACTTAAATAATTATAACTAGCTAAGTAATTCATATAGCTTACGCAACCAAAGCACTAGCAGTCGACGATTCGCTAAAAAAAAAAAGGTAAAAAAAATGAGTTCAGGTGAACGATCACCGAGTATTTAAGAACGAGAGTAAATGAATCACTCGTTTCTTTTTTTTTTAACACTCTGCGTAACGTGCAATATATAAAAAATGGGAAAACCAACTAGAAAATGTAAAAAAAGAGGAAAAATGCATACTATTTCCAATTCGGGGCCAACTGTCCTGCTGTCTTGTAATATCGTGATAAACGATGGATACGTGATTCGATCAGAATCAAACGGAATTTAGCGTCCTTGTCTTTACGATTACGTTCAAGATGTTTACGCACTGCCACAGCTTTTTTGATGAGATGATAGAGATCCTCGGGGATTTCTGGAGCAAGTCCTATAAAGACGACGATAATAAAAACATAAGATCGAGCAATTGATTTAACCAATGGATTATTTTTTTAAACAGAAAGAAATTTGAACAAAAATACCCATGATACTAACCATTCGACTTCAAGATACGCAAAATTTTATTACCAGTCACATTTTTAACTTGAGCAATGCCATGCGAGTCCCTCAACTGGACACCAATTTGTGAGGGTGACATACCCTTTTTGGCATGCTTAAAGATTAACTCGCATACTTCTTCTGGTGTGGTTTTCACCCATGACGGAGGTGTGCGACGATAAGGCAACGCCGAACTGGAGATACCTTTGCCGGGAGCATGCATACGACCCATTTTGACGTTTTATTTTTTTTTTCTAAAAGTTAAGAATTGTTATTAATTACTTGCAACAAAATTCGAGTTGGCGAGAAAAAAATTTGTTATCAGGTCAAATTTGATTGGTTGGTTATTATGATTGTGATACGTTCTTTCAACCAAAATTTTTCAAACCGTGGATATATTTTTTGGGAAAACATACATTTATGCAATCAATACAACCAAAACACTATGCTGTACTTGGCGGAGGTATATCAGGTTTGGCAGCGGCATGGTATTTGATGCGGGGCACACCTCCTAAAACGAAAATCACGTTATTAGAAGCGACAAATAGACTCGGTGGGTGGATACAGACCACAAGAGTTGGTGAAGAGCAAGTGTTGTTTGAACAAGGACCACGGACTCTTAGACCTTCGGGATTGAGTGGATTGGCTACTTTGGATATGGTTAGGTGAACTAATTTTTTTTACTTGATTAGATGCGCGTTCATGTTACTCGTGTTTCTCCCAATTGACTCGGAATATCATCCAATCATCCAAAAACAGATCATTCAACTAAAACTGACACAATCATTTCTTGGGATCCCCTTTTCACACCCTGCCTCCAAAAAACGCTACATATACTACCCGAACCAACTCAACGAACTTCCTTCTTCGTTTTTCGGCACACTAACCTCCTTATTTACACTTCCAGTACTAAAAGGTATAATACCTGGTCTGTTACGCGAACCATTTGTACCCAAGAGAGAACTCCACAACAACGATAAGGACTTTGATGATGAAAGCATCCATAGCTTCGTGTCACGAAGGATTAATTCCCATATAGCTGATAACATGATCAGCGCTTTAGTACACGGCATTTACGCTGGCGACGTGACAAAACTCTCGGTTCGATCCACGTTTCCGCTGTTATATTATTCTGAACGGAAATATGGCTCGTTGTTGAAAGCGATGTTGATTAAAAGTAGTAAAAAAAACAATGATAGCATAATACCAATATCACACCAGGATCAAATACTCCAAAGAACATTGGTTGAGCAAAATAAAGAGTTACTGGAAAGTGTTCAAAGGGTAAGTATATATTCGTTTAGGGATGGCGTTGAAGAGCTCGTGAAAGCGATTGAGAATGAGTTGGTCGCGTCGGAAAAAGTGGAGATAATTAGAGGGCAGGCTGTTGAGAACTTATTTTTTGAAGATGAAATAAAGGTAATATAATTATATTATTTTGTATTAGATTTTTTGATTCATGGTTTGTACAAAGCATCAGGTACTCTTATCTGGTAATCGTTGCTGGCTTTGATGGAAATTTTATTATTTTGAGGCTCGAGGAGATTCGCATTTCAATTCGGATATAGAATTCAAGATATTGGATGCCCAACTATTGTATATGGTGCTTAATTTTTGCTTCTTGGGATTGATATCGCACCATATATTTTAAAAAATATGCACGATTATGAATACGAAAAATTATAGCATTCGAGTTTTTCAGTATAGATGGAATTTTATGCTTAATATCTAGTCTTTGAGATTAGTATCGTTGGATCTTGACTTAGAGCTAAATCGCTCACACGCCTTAATAAGCATTGATTAAATTAAGATCTTATCTTTAATTATAAAACATAATACTTCATAGATACAAACAATTCAAGGAAAAAGAATCAACGGGATAGATCATATAATAAGCACAATCCCTTCATCTGAATTAAAAAAAATAGTTGACAACCACCACTCAAAATCCCCATCATTACCACATCTGGATTATAATCCCGCGGTGACAGTAGCAGTAGTGAACCTAGCATACAACAGACCAGAAATACTTCCAGTCATCGGATTTGGATACTTGATCCCACGCACGACACCGAACAACCCAAATCACGGGTTAGGTGTCGTGTTCGATTCGTGCGCAATGCCTGAACAAGATCCCAAAGCAGCAGCGATCACAAAACTAACAGTCATGATGGGTGGTCATTATTACAATGATAACAACATTGACATGGGAAATATTTCGGATGAAGAAATATTATCCCAAGCACAAGACCTCGTACAAAATCACTTAAATATCACGGCGGCACCAATTCATGCGTTAGTTCGTCTTCAGAAAAATTGTATTCCGCAGTACTATGTGGGACATTATGGTCGAATGAAGCAACTACACGAAGCGATTAAATCAAATGGGCGGTATGCTGGAAAGTTGAGTGTTACTGGGGCGAGTTATTGGGGTATGAGTGTCAATGATTGTGTGTTGAATGCGAGAAAATTAGTTGAGAATTTATTAAATAGTGATTTTGAGGATGAGAAGATAGGAGTGACAAAGAAGATTATTACAGGGTTGGAAAGGGTGGAAGAAGAGGGAATACATGTAAATTAATTTATTTTATAGTAGAAAAATCGTAATAAAAAATTTAATGAAGATCCTATATATTGATTAAACATTGATTTTCTGATACAATGAAGATAGATAGCCATAAAAAAAAGATTAACAATAACAACTTTTAATAGCAATCCATACTATTAGTCTCATGATGCTCCCCTTCGTCCTCCACATCCATCATCGCCGAATCCACAACACTCTCCAACGCCTCTTTATACAAATGCTCGGCATCAATGGTTGATGCAAGACGCTCAAAATCTACTTCTGCGCATATTCGGTGATAGAAATCGGCGTGACGATGTGGGAGTGATGATTCAATAGTTGGTCGCTTGTGTGAAGTTTCTATCTTGTTGGTGCTGTCAGGATCAATAGCCATAGCATTACTATTGTTATTATTATATGTTTGGATGCTGCTATTGCTAGATATAGTTGAAGAGGATGATGATGATGATAATAATTGTGCGATATAATCCTTGATTCGTTGTAAAATGACGAGAATTTCGCGTCGTACGAGACGACTTGAATCAGAAGCCTAATTCAATATTTTATATTGTGTGGACAAATAAGTTATTTTTCTGAATACACCATGTAAATAAGATTATATACAAGTATGAATATTAATACTAACCGCGTCAATCAGAATATTGTCACCATCAAGCCAATAAAACCATGAAGAATCATCACCAATCAAGAAATTACTATTATTATTACTACTGTCTGTTGATGACGTCTGTTTACGTTGTCTTTTATGACCTTGTTCGCGGTCTTGCTCACAGTGATCCCAAACTACCGCCAAAAACTGGCATCCGCGAATTCTGACCTCGAAATCGGGATCATCCACAATTTTGGTCATAACTTCGGGACTTTGTTTTTCATAATATTCAAATTAGTGAAATAAATACAGTTATAAAATACATATAGAGAAAAATCATCAAATATTGAAACAAATTCCATCGAAAGAAATAAAAAGTAAATGGCAACAGACTTTATAATCTCTGCATTTTTATCAGCAAGCAATATTGCTCCACATTCACGCTCAACAATCAAACAAACCATCAAGTCCATCAACGCGCGACGAACAAACGCTTCGGTGTCTTTCATTAATTGAGGAAGTTCTGACGCGATGGATTCTTTGAGATTTTTGGAAAGAATGGTTTGCCAACCTTCTGAATGACAAATTATTGCCTTTATTGTTAATCAAAGCAAAGAATTGAAGTTTTATTTAGTATGATTTAAATCATAAAAATTCAATCATATAATAATGGTACCTCACCTGTATTGCATTTAAAGCGGAAGCACGTACATACGCTTCCGGATCATGGATGCTCGACAATGTATCTTTTTCCAAATCGAACCTACACACAAGCTCAATTCCATATTGGCTTTTACCGGGTTCCTATTAAATTAAAAAACAAAAAATAAGAGATTCTATAGACGAACATGCAAATAAAAATAAATACACTAACATTCTTAAACAACCCTCCAATAAACTCTAACACCGAATCACGAACTTCCCATCTAGCGTCTGTAAATTTTGACTTTATCGAACAGGCCAACTGTTTCCCGTAACCAGAATCGAAAATGTAGCCGCCGATAATTTGGTTTCCAAGCAATCGCCCTAGTATATCCAATACCAGCATCATACCACGACATTCGGTATTTTGGTTTTGCATTAACGCGTTCAGTGTTTCCAGAATCTAATTGAAAGCAAGCACTTAATTAATCCAGAGAATATTGATTATTTGATATGTGAGCGGGAAATCATGAATAAAAGAAAAATTTGAAAAAAACTTTATCCACAGCTCGGTATCGATCATCATCTTCAATATTGCGACCATCATGATCATTCGCCATCTTTGAGAAAAGCAAAATCGGAATAACATTGAGTCCTGCTTTCAGAATACGTTCGTCGGTGTTGTATGCAGGAGTAGATATTATATCTATAATGATATCGAGCAGTGATTCTGTTTTCTTAGTAAGGTTAGGGGAATGAATGATGGATGGTATTATATTAGCATATTCAAAGTATTTTTGTTATTAATATTACTATCAAAATAATGTCATGTAATATTACCGTGATTACTTGACTGAAGTTAACCGCAATAGATTGAATTGCATGAAACACGCTCAATATCAATGTTTTTCGATGGGCGTTTGCCCGTTTTGTCGAGTTGAAAAGTGAACTTAACTGGATAATAATCAAAACTCCCATAATAATTAAAATGCTACGGGAAAGGGAAGCAACAGCTATAACAAAAAAGAACACGTTAAATACATACTTTTTCCACTATCCCATTATCACGTAAAAATCGCTCAATATCAGGATCAGCAAAAGATAATGGCATAGACGTCGAATCCAAAATATCATCTTGTTTTTGAATTTGTCGCGTAAATCCCAGTAAAAACACAAGCAAACTTGTAAGGATCGAGGCTAAATGTTCTCCTTCTCTTTCATTACTTATACTTTTATTATAAACGCGCTCAGCCAATCGTGTCATTGAGGTTATTACATTTACGGACATCACAACCATCTCTAAATTATTATCAGTCACTTTTGATAATAGCGAGAACACAATCTCGTATAGGATAAAATTGAATGCTACAAATAATATTTATTATTATGGATGACAAAATCATAGCAAAAACAACACAATACTTAGATGAAGTGATTGTTGTAACATTCTTATTACCATTGTTGTAGTGGTTATTACTTGGATTTCTGAAATCGTCGGAATCTTTTAAAAGAGCTAAGGGATCCAGCACCCATTCCAACAACGCAGAAAGAATTTCATTTGCTCGAGATTTTACAATTCTGTTTGGATCGTGCAGCAGTGTGTCGAGACGCATCAGCTGTTATAAAAATGATAAATAATTTGAAGAGCAGTTATAGTAGTACGAGGTCAGATAAACAAAATTTTATTAACAGACGAACGTTAATAAAAAAATAAAATTCTCACCAATTTTCCCCTTCTCAAAAACTCAATTACATTGATTTCTTGCGAACTCGCCAACATCCAAACAATTTCCAAAGCAGCCATACGATGATTAGATATAACGCGTGTGTCGTAAAGCATTTCACGCATCAAAGTGAATAAATTGAGCGATGCGATTATGTGTTCGAGTAGCTGTAGGTGAGATGATGATATTTCCTCTGACGAAGACATAGATGAATTTTTGATGATTGATAATAAGAGTTTCGATATTGCGGTGACGACCTATAAATCTCACATCTTGATCATTTAATAAACGAAAGTTTCTTTTGTTAAATTAGTTCGTAACTTACGTATGTGCTCGAATCTTCGAAACATCGTTCAATAATCTGCGCGCTTTTATTGGACTCCAGAAGCCTTTCTTACATTAAAAAATTATCACACCAAAAAAAGATTTATGAATTGTTGTTATCTTTAGCAAACTGTCAATAAATTAATAAAGTAAAACACAATTACCATTTTGCTCCCTCCTCATACGCAACAATCATCTCCAACGCCTCAACACACGAATACCTCATCAAAGCTTCATCCTCATCAAACACACCGCCCAAAATAAATTCCATAACTTCTCGATATTCGGTACTCAATTGGCAAAACAATAATGCACGGTATTTATCATCGTACTGTAAAAGCCGCGCGAGAAATCTAATAGCTATCGAGGTGATCCTGTAGTCTGTTTGTCGTTGATCGGAAGAGGTGCTTTCTTGAAATATACATGCCTGTCGTTTGATCAAATCGTCAAGTCACGATAAATCGGTAATCACGAAAAACTTCATCATTCATTTTTTTACATATAGAAATTAAGCAAATCTGATTACGAACGCGTATAACATCCAAGACATTCCACTCCACCAAAACTGCCATAATATCCGGTCCTTTTTTCGCATAGTCCGATAAATACGATAACACTTTTTCGTGAATAGTATCGTCGATAATGTCTCTTGACATTTGTGGAAGTAGTGTCAACACAGTTTTAAGCCTGTCCATGTCTGAACTTGTCGTATCAGTTTCCATTTTCATCACCAATACCCTGTTTTCCTTGATCATTAATCGATAATCCTTGAAAGAAAATGCATTATTCGTTATATTTTGCACTATATTCCAAAAAGCATCATTCCTTATTATCACATGATATATCATCACCAAATCAAATCAGCTTTTGATCGATCGATTAATTAATAAATAATAGTATAGAAAATAATATACAACACAGAAACGAGACGCCAAAACCCATTAGCCTTGTATGTGTGTATATGTGTGTGCGTGGATGAGTACTCGACTCTCTTTATATTAATTCTTACTTATACTCGGATAGTCACTTAATAGTATCTCTACTACGGTTTCAACACAAGTTTGATAGATAATTTTCTGGTAACTTTTTTCATGCCTTCGATATTTGTTTTTACATTACGTGACGAGATATAAATAAGAATAATAAATTTTTTTACTGTATTTATTACGTGTTAGTGTGACCAAACACGTAGTAGATAGAATTTGTCCAAGCTTCCAAGCAACCATAACAACAACAATAATAATAATCAAATTTTGGAACTTGCTTTTTAGCATTCAAACAAATAATCAATAAATCAACCTTTTGATTCTGCACGTTCTTTTGTTTTCCACCACCTTTTTAGTAGCCAAGATTGATACACAGAGACAAGTACAACCTCTCTTTCTCCCTACGTCCCAATCGCTCTTTTGGGTCTATCTCGGATTTTGTGACCACCACCACAATAACAATAAAAACAATGTCCGGACAAATTACCGGAGAGATATCGTCAAAAAGTGACAGGTTTTTGTCGGCGGTTGTGCCTATGTCGCCTGGGTCTCCTGCACGAACAATAAAAGCTGCCACCACCACCAACAATATTGAAACTCCACGAAGGAGGAGAATAGTGGAGTATGGTGACAGGTGAATTAACTAACTGAAAATTGTATCCTTTGTTCTTTATAGTCAGAGATGACTGACTGAAAAATGGTATCATCGAATTTTTTCATATAGATATATTCCAATAAGAACCCATGATATCGTATCAGATTTTCAAAGGCTAACAGTTCCAAACACTCCACAAGGAAAAAAACGAAAAATCGCTTCTTTGATCGAGGAAGAAGCTCAACAAGGTAAGGCTGCCTCCCTTAAAATTTACAAGTATCAAATATACAATCCATAAACAAACAGACAAACAAAAAATCTAACAACCACATAAAAAATCACCACCCATTTTATATTAAAAAATTTCGATTAGAAGAAGACGACCGTATCTACCGAGCGGTCCTAGAATCAACAATGTTCCCCTACAAAGACACAAATGACGACATCATTCGTCGAATAAATTCTGCGTCTAATTCCCCCTCGAAAGGGCTACTGACTTACCGATCGCCGTCAAGAAAACATCATCGTAGTATTGATACGCCGTATCGTGATGCATATTCGGTGAGTCCGTTGACGTGGCCAGCTCAACAACTTATGACTAGTCCGCGGAAACCCCCACGATATATTAGCAAGTTCCCTTATAAGGTTCTCGACGCTCCTGAACTTCAGGTATTGACAGTTAATTAAACGAATTATAATAGTAAGCAAATTTTTTAAATTTATATGCAATGTATTCTTTAGGATGACTTTTATCTGAATTTGGTCGATTGGTCGTCAACGAATGTTTTAGGTGTTGGTCTTGGAACATGCGTGTACCTCTGGAATGCTGTAACATCTAAAGTAAATTTAAATTTCAATCTTATACTTGAGAAATTATAATATAATCGTTTCATGATATATAGTTTGTTCGGATGGTGCGATTCTATTTAGGTTATCAAGCTGTGTGATTTAGGGGCAAATCAAAATGACAACGTGACATCAGTAAGCTGGATGCCAACAGTAAGTTCTATTATGTCCATTTTTTTTTAGATTCATTCATAATTTTTACTATTTGTAACGACGATAAAAATAATGATAATTAACAATAGGGTACTCATATTGCTGTTGGGACGAATAACGGCCCGGTAGAAATTTGGGATATCCAAAAAAACAAAAAAATACGAAAAATGACTGGACATGACCAAAGAGTTGGTGCGTTGGCATGGAATGGATATGTTGTCAGTACAGGCAGTCGCGATAGGACTATATATAACAGAGATGTACGGGTTCCCAATGACTATACTGAAGTCTTAACTGCACACAAACAAGAAGTATTGTATCTTTTTCTTTTCCCTATTCATTTTTTATCATGTTTTTCTCATGAATATTAAAATACAAAAGGTTTGCGGACTAAAATGGAATCCTGAAGGAACTCAACTGGCTAGCGGCGGAAACGACAACAGACTTCTAGTTTGGGAACGCACTCAAACTGTTCCTCTTCATAAATGGAAACATCACACGGCTGCAGTGAAAGCAATCGCTTGGAGTCCTCATTCACATGGGATTTTGTCTAGCGGTGGAGGATCGCAAGATAAACATATCAGATTTTGGAATACTATTACGGGTGAAGCGCTGGATAGCCATGATACTGAGTCTCAGGTATGTTGTCCTTATCATTACATCATTGATATTCTTATAGAAATAATTTTTTACAATATATAAATAGGTGTGTAATCTTGCTTGGTCAAAACACGCAAACGAACTTGTCTCCACTCATGGCTACTCTCAAAACCAAATCATTCTTTGGTCATACCCTTCAATGGAACAACTGGCTGTGCTAAAAGGCCACACTCTTCGCGTACTATATCTCTCTGTATCACCCGATGGTCAAAACATTGTTACGGGTGCTGGGGACGAAACTCTTCGATTCTGGAATGTATTTAATAATGGAAAGAAAGAAAAGAAACGTGAATCAAAATTTGACATTCGTACACAGATCCGCTGAGAAATATTAGGATAACAGTAATAATTGTTTTATATATATCAACTAGATATGATTTTCAAAAAAAGTAGTAATAATAATAATATTCATGGTATAGGGTGGTTTGGATATTTGGTGTATTTAATGAGTCCTACTAATAAAAAAAATTACCATATAAGACTATACTTATTTTGGTTCATATGCATGTTTCTGATAATCAACCGAATATATCAACAACGATAGAAAATACATAAAGCCTCCAAAGTTGTACAAAAAACAACTATCAAAATACACATACCTGAAGAGAAGCGAACCTAATATTTCTATATAAATACATTTAGCACGCGAACCAAAAAAATGTCAAATAGCTCACGTCTTACAGTGTTAGCCGACAACACATTGGTCACAATACTCGAGCGAAACAGATGTAAAAACGAAAGTATTAATCACGATTCGCATGACAGTATAATAAATAAGAATTTAGTTAAACTACGTGGTGGTATAAAGGAGCTGGAACAAGAATTATCTTTGGCGGAAGAGACTGGAAGTTTGTATGTTTTTTTCTTTTGTTGGAATGTTGGGTGATACTTTTTCTGGGACGTTAAGGCGAGAGGGGGTTTGATCTAATTTTTTTTTGATGGAATTTAATGGTGGATATTTTTTGTCTAATACATAATCTTCAATAGAAATTCACAGGATTTAAAAGAAAAAGAAGATACACTCATTAAACTAACAAAACAAGTGGACAAACTTGAAGCACTTATGGGTGAAAGCAATGATATTTCAACAAGGTACCTACTGATTAATTGATCAAATTTCACACTAGCTGTAATTTATTTACAATCATTCCTTTAATTGTAAAAAACAATAAAGAGAGCTTTTACTCGGTCTTAATTCGAGCATTGAACCAGCAGGAGGAAAATCCAAGAAGAAGAGTGTGCGCTTCACGGATCCAATAGCTGAACTGAACGAGTTTGATGATCACCAAGTGCTTCAGTTGCAGCAACGGATGATGTCTGGTAAGATGAAAAAAAGAATTATTCATCGAATTACGAACAATTTAATTTAATTCTTGAGAAATTAATATCAATGTCATTTATCTCCTTGATTTATTTTTATTTTTGGTTTGTGATAATATAACTAATATAAAATATCATAAAAAATAAAACAGATCAAGACGAAGATCTGGACAGACTTGACGCAGCAGTCGGACGTCAACGAGAACTAGGAATACTTATTGGCGAAGAGTTAGATTACCATGTTGATTTGCTAGAAGAGACTGAACACGCCGTGGATAATACCGACGGCAGATTAGCGAGTGCGCGAAAGAGGCTAAATCGTGTATCGAAACAAGCAAAAGAAAAAGGTAGACTCTTTTAATTAATTAGATAATTATCTTTTTATATTATATTGAATTGAATTCAAATGACTTGATTTCTTTTAAATAGGGTCGCTATGCGTAATATTGATACTACTATTTATTCTAATAATATTGATTGTCGTCTCCCGGTAGAATATTCATGGCTTGGTGTGGATTTGCACAAAATATGCACTTTGGGAACTATAAGATAATTATATACTAATAGCAATATCAGACATACTCACACATACATTGGACTTGAACGAATCAATTGGTGGTTGGTGGTTGATCAAAAGACGGAAAGACTTTTTTGCATTAAAAAAGACAGGAATTAGATTCCTTTTATTTGAGTCGGGAAATTTTTTGGTTGGTTAATAGGATTGATAGAAGTAGTATAGACTAAATAATACTTAATATCTATAATAGTAATAATTAATGATGATACTAATTTATTTATTTATTTAATAGAAAATATGTATTCATCGCATTTAGTATTTCATTATTGAATTAAAATATAAACTCTACATGCACGTAATTATCATCATCATCATCTTTGCACCTAGTGAACTAGAGCCATATCTCAAGTGACAGGCTGACGTTCCTTCTAGCTTTTGAATCTTGCAAAAGGTTTGTTGTTATTATGAGAAAAAGGAAGGCAAAAGTTTCAGCCATCTATAACAAAGTTTAAAGAATATTTTCGATTCTGTAAGATCAAATTTATATATATTATCTGAAGCGAGAAACGCCGGTAACGTGACATTGGGAGTCTCTCCAATGTCATGTTACCGGCGTTTCTCGCTTTACCGCGTAAAATTTTTAATTAGTAATGCTTATCGATAAATGATATAATGAATTACTTAGTAACGCTTATTATGTTATTAGATTAGATTGATATGGTGCTGGAAGTCTATACTCAACAATCACATGAGATATTTAAAACGCATCAACTTTTTGTAGAAATGATATTTTAACACTATAAAGTTATCGATCAGCTTTTTAAAATATCATTTCTACAAAAAGTTGATGCGTTTTAAAGATCTCACGTGATTGTCGAGTATAAACTTCCAGCACCATAGAAGAAACACAGATTTATAACATTAATAAAAAAATCAAAAATCCTTATATTTTCAGAATTAAATTTTTATCTGCTCATAAAAAAACTAAGAGACTTGGCATTTCATTTGATACTTTGAGATATTGGTTAAAACAGAAAAAAATATTCACAAAAATATCTTCATTTAGAATTCATTTCTATAAAAAAATGAACTTAAAATCTTACTGGAATGATTAAGTAAAGGAATAATCTTAGAAGTTGTGATTATTCACTGTGATTAACTTAATAAATTCATATTTAAGAATAAAGTTTATGAATTTTTTTCATCATAATTATGATAGCAAATAATTTAATCATTAATATATAATTTCTGAATAAGATCTAAAATACAAGTTGTTAATTTCTTTGAATAAATATGTATATGATAAATATTGCTACGGTTACTTTAAATGAAGGGTTTCTTCACTATTAGTAAAAGAGTCATATGAGTTGGGAGAGAGGAA